GGAGGTTGGCGGGGGCCGATCAGGGCCCAGATTGTTATAGCGACTGGTTGTTCCAGTCGTTGTGTCTTCCGGCCGCTTGGCTTTTATATATATAGATTAAACATCTTTTTCTATGTTTATTATTTTTTTGGTAAATCATTTATCTTATTTTGCTGGTGTATATACCTTTTTATTTATTAGCTTTCTAGAGGAATTTAAGTGAGCAATTTTGAACCTGGTACAAATATTTTCCCCAGTTTGTTGTCTCTTTCAATTACAGTTCTTTTTTAGGGTATTTTTTTTGTTTTGCTTTGTTCTAATTTTGTGGTACATAGAGCTGCATGCTTACCCTCCCCAAAGGTAGAGGAATTTGCTTTAACTCTGCAGTAGCCTCCCTGTAATAGAATACTGACCCAATGTACCCCATCCACCCTTGGAATCCTTTTTCTTGACATTAGCTAAACCTGGGACACAAAATTGCTTAAGATTTTTGAAGAGACGATACCTTGGGGTATTCTGCTTAATACTGTCTGTAATTCTTGTCCTGGCCTATGCTTTCTCTGCTCGCCTGTGCTCAGCTGTAACAGGGGAGTCTGGCAGGACACACAGCAACCTCCTCTCAGTTTAGGAGGGCTGTCCTGAGTATAGGGCTGCCCTTAAAGGCACGAGAGGACAATTTAAGATGAAGAAAAAAATATATAGTCTGTAATTTTTCAAAATATAAGGTGTTCTGGCCTCTATATAAGTTTCCTTATAAGAAAAAAGATTATCAGGTCTTTATATTACAAAGAGTTTCTCTTTGATATAAAGAACTGACAGTTACCTGTGGGCCCTATTAAAGTTTGATTTTATTATTTCAAATACCTACCCTCATATATATGTTCAAAAGGAATGGGAGTGTGGTATAATTAAAATGCAAATAAGATAACATGTTAGTCACATGTTAGTTAGCAGTGATTTTCAACTGCTGTGCCACAGCACACTGGTGTGCCACAAGAATTTTTAAAACATGCAATACTTGTTTCCTCAGGGGCACTGACCTCTTTTCTCTTAGATTGTAAAAAATAAAAAAATAAAAAAATGACAACAGCCAACACAATAGCAGTCCAGTGCGAATGAATAAAAATTATACCTATTTTTGTCAGATCAGCAAAAAATATTTTTTTTGGTGTGCCGCAGAATTTTAGTAGTTAATGTGTGCCAGGAGATGTAGATGAAAATCACTACTGTATAGTATAGCACATAAAACAATCTCTTTGGCCCTGACCGGTTTGGCTCAGTGGATAGAGCGTTGGCCTTCCGACTGAAGAGTCCCAGGTTCGATTCCGGTCAAGGGCATGTATCTTGGTTTCGGGCACATCCCCAGGAGGGGGTGTGCAGGAGGCAGCTGATGGATGTTTCTGTCTCATCAATGTTTCTGACTCTCTATCCCTCTCCCTTCCTCTCTGTAAAAAAAAATCAATAAAATATATATTTTTAAAAACCCCAACAATCTCTTTGGCTTTAGTGTTGGAACTCCTCCTCACCCAGATTCCTATTCCATTTCTGTCCCTGCTTTATTCTCTGCTTATCTTTTTAGAAGGTAGGTTTGTATTGCATAAACATTGAAATGGTGTACTTCTCACAAAGCTCCATTTTGTTTATGTATTTATTGACATATAAAATCTCATTTAAAGTTCAAAACCTATTGAAATAATTCCTTCCATTTTGTAGTGAAGAAAGTAAAATCTAAGTCCTACTTGACTTCTAACAGTTATTTCCCTACCATGGGTCAGAGACTTCGAATTTATGCAAACATTTCCTCATATAACTGAAGTAATTCTGCAAAGTTACAGTTTGGGATTTCTCTCTCGCGTCTATGATGATTGTCCTGAGTTTTTTCCCTATGGTAACCACCTAAAATAATGTCACTAAAAGCTTATTCTAGGTTTGATATAGTATCACCTACTGGAAATGATTCACTTAAGACCTAAGACCTTGATCCTCTACTCTTTGCTTCTATAGACTCTCCCAAACATGACGTTTTATTTACTGCTTTCTGTCCCATGTATACTTTCTTTAGAGTTGATTTTTAAAAATAAGGAGTAATTTATTTTAATTTTTCTCTTTGTTTTTTGTTAATCTTCACCTGAGGGTATTTTTTCCCATTGATTTTTAGAGAGTGTAAGGGGGTGGGGAGAGAGAAGCATTGATTTGTTGTTCCGCTTACTTGTGCATTCTTTGGTTGATTCTTGTATGTGCCCTGACAGGAGATCAAACCTGCAACCTTGGCCTATTGGGACAACACTCTAACCAACTGAGCTATGGGCCAGGGTTCTTTCTTTCCAATTGCAATTGATGTTCAATATTATTTTACATTTGTTTCAGGTGTACAGCATATTGGTTAGGCAATTATAATTTACAACGTGATCCCCCTGATAATTCTAGTGCCCTCCTGGTACCATCCATAGTTATTACAATGTTATGGACCATATTCCCTATCATCCCCGCGACTGTTTTGTAGCTTCTTAGCCCCTTCACCTTTTTCACCCCGTTCTCCCACCCTCTGCCCATCTGGCAACCCTTAGTTTGTTCTCTGCATCTATGAATCTGTTTTCTGTTATGTTGTGTTCTTTAGATTCTACATAAAAGTGACATCATATGGTATTTGTCTATTTAACTTATTTCACTTGCAAGGGATAAGATTTCATTCTTTTTTTATGGCCGAGTAATATTCCATTGTATATATAGTTTTTTTTAAATCCACTATTGATGGGTACTTGTGTGGCTTCCGAATTTTGGCTATTGTAAGAAACTCTGCATATATCTTTTCCAATTAGTGTTTTGGATTTCTTTGGATATATTCCCAGAAGTGGAAATACTGGGTTATGAAGTAGT